AATTTATGATCATGATTGGTAGGGAGTCGCTCGCTGAGTTTTATTTTTTGAATATTGGAATAACATAATTATATCGTGACACATGAAAAAAATAACAAGAAGGAATTTTTTCATGATCATATGAGTTTGCCGGATAAACATATATACTGTATCATAATTTGTTACAGATATTAAAATATTTTAATTAATATTAATACGTATGCAAATTTCTTGTTAAAATTTCTGAAAAATTAAAATACGTAGTGACAAGAACTATTCCAAATATAGATACGGGGTTTACCGACATTTACCCGACAACCACTTTCCCGACAACTATTTTCCTTAGAACAATTATTTCCCCAACATAACCATTTTCACGGCAACCATTTCCTCGACAACCATTTCCTCGACAACCATTTCCTCGACAACCATTTCCTCGACAACCATTTCCCCGACATCCATTTCCCCGACATGGCCATTTCCTAACATGACGTGATTGTTGGGGAAATGGTCATGCCGGGGAAATGGTCATGCCGGAGAAATGATTGTCGGGAAAATAGTTGTTGAGGAAGTGGTTGTCGGTAAACCTTATCAATATATAAAAAATTTTTAGATAGCTTTGATTGATTTATTGCGCTTACATTATTAAGTAGTTTTACGTAGTTAATAACTCGACCAAATAGTTATTATTAACCACATATTAATAATTCAAGAGGTCCCATCACTAATGACAGCTATATACATTAACATGCAATTTGATTGTACAATCAATCAATTGTACAATTTTTTAAAAAATTTTTTTACTCTTGTACAAAAATCAATACGCCGACAAGACACTTGACATAAGAATAATAGAACCCTTTAAAGTTAGGATGTACGTACGTACGTCTTATTATATAGTACAGTATATATAGTATATAAAGATAATTTTCTACTTAATTTAAGTAATAGCTGGTTCTAAGTCGCATGCAAATTCATTGACGTTAACATTTACCAAAGCGATAAGTCAAATAGATTTACGAAAACTCCTTAAAATCTTGGATTGTAAAACAGTAGAAAGATGAAGCTTCAAAAAGTTAAAAGTTGAACATGGAATTTCGCTTACTCCTTAAATTTTTATTTTTATTTTTTATAAATAAGTGCGTTGCCCAGAAGTGGAAAGATCAAAAAGACGCACAATGCAGCGCAGCACAGGGCAGCACGAGTATATGACGCCAATTCTGTGGAACTTTCTTTTCCTTTTATAACTTCTATTTTTCTACGAAAAAAAAAGAAGAAATGTTCATATGCGTAACACAAGTTTGAAATTGACATATAAAAATTATATATATGCACGTCATTGCTACACAATCACATAATCGCAATTAAAAATTGGTTTTTTTTTATACGTAAACCAGACGATAACCAGACGATAGCGATAATAAATTATTACAAGGTAGCGATGTGATTTTAAAATCCATTAATATGATCTAAGATAGACACTCGTATTACATTAATCTTTAAAATGTGATAATGCTTAAAACAGTCATGATTCTCACTTTTACCGATCATCTCTCCCTTAATATTACGACTTTTTAATTAAGTTAGCATTTAATAAAAAAAAAAATTTCCGTTTGACAAGTAAAATTAAGCATTATTTAATGATAATATATATGACGTTTTTGCTGAACCCTTTACAAGATTTTTGGAAAAATGGCTTTTTACCTTACCGCTCACGAGTTTACGAAATTACTAACCTTATTATTATTATTTGTGTTTATAATGTCCGATATCATGCTTTTTACAAGTTATGAAGATGAATTACAGAGAATTTTACTTCCGCAAAATGTACAAATAAATTCTTATTTAGAAGAGGTAAATGTACTACTTTTTATGTCATGCGAATTTCTGTCACAAAACAATAACCAAAATTTCTTCTCTTTAGGACTATAATACTAAGCTAATTCCTACAGATACTTATCCGAATAATTATGATTCATATGACTCATATCTTGACTTATATGATGATTTATATGAGAATATAAATATCAAAGAATTCGATGAAAAATTTCTCTCGGATTCAGAAGTAAACAAAAAATATTGTAAAAAAGAAAAAGATTGCAGATTTTTATTCATATATTATCATTCAGGACAAGAATCAAAAGCCAATATACATTTAAAAACATTCTCTCATATAGCCGGTATTCTCGATCGAACTATGGTTTTGACTAATGTTGGGCGTTCACGTATTGAGTCATGTAATCAATTTCCTTTCGAATTTTATTATAATTTAAATGCTTTACGAAACCTTTTTCCAAAAGTTAATTTTATCTCTCAGTTGGATTTTGAAAATTGGTCTCGAAATCGATTTAAAAAACCAACTATTCAACATTTACATCTTTCTCATGATGACTCATTAATGCCGATATTAGAACAGGTCAATCCAATTATTGAACCAGTAACACATATCAATTGTTTTAATAAATTTGATCTGAAATTTGATAATATAGCTAAATTTCAACGAATCTCAATTAACTCTGAAGTTTTATTACAAGTAAATGATGGGAATGATTCCTCTACTTTGTTGATTAAAAATTTAATGGATTCAGATGCTGAAATATTGTTGATAAAAGATGATATTGGCAAAGAAATACTTACACAAACGCATTCTGCTATACCATATGCAAATCATATTATTAAAGAGGCTTTGAGAATTAAAGTTGCGTTGAAATCATATGTTGCAGTATATTGGCGTATGGAAGGTGTGAATCCAAAGAGTTTACCAGAATGTGCAAAACAACTTAGTAATACATTACAATATATTCGTGAAATTCACGGAATTAGTAATGTTTATTTATCAACAGATTATCCAATCTCTACAGAATTAAATGATCCATTTTCGCAGTTTTCACATTTGACTGAATATTACAATCAAGCTATGAAGATTTTAAATTCAACAACAGATATTAATATTTATTCTCGAATATCATTTGATACATTTGGCAAACTTAGAAATAGAATAGGTAATAATGATGAGTTTATAGCAACCGATGGTGTTCAACGGATATTAGATCGAATTGTCTGTATAGGTGCTGATTATTTTCTGAGTGGACCAGCTAATTGTTGTGAGCAATTAAACACATTTATAAGAACAGTTATTAATGCCCGAAATGAACTATCTAAATTTGACGACTCAGAGCTTCAAAATATTATTTCACGATGGTGACAAAAAAAAAAAATCTAGTTTATGTAATATTGTCATTTACAAAAATTTGTAGAAAATTTTTCAAAAGCTAAAACAATAAAAAAAAAAATAATAATTTAATCTTTTTTTGATTTTATAATCATTTTCCTACTATATATATGTATATTACACACGTAAGTTAATTTTTTCGTGAATCTATTCAAAATGCTTGGCTTTCATAACCTAAAAATATATAAATTTTTTTTTTTCTTTAAATAACATCGATTCTTCGTTTATTAGAACGCTTCAAACGAGACAAAAGAGATCTATTTGAATTTTAAATAATTGTACAACCTTCAGTTTACCTTCCGATGATAATACTACAGCACATATGTTCCTAGAATGACCTTGTGTTTCGTCAATTATCCTGTACTTTGTAAGTTTTCTATTTTAATTTATGAATTATAGATATAACAAAAATACGTAATAATACTTTTGTATATGAGTATGTAGACATTAATCCGATAAATTTCGAATATATGATTATTAAATTCAGTTTTAGATTAGGGTTAGATAGAGCGTTTACGATCATTCTTTTTTGTATTAAGACATGGCTTTGGATAGGCTATAGGAAAAGCTTCTATAAAAAGTGTACAAACAATATATGATATTTATTTTTTTGAATTTATTACATCGTAAGTTACATGACCTTTTTATGTAAGTTACAAAATATATCTAAAGCAGAGCCACCGGATTTTAGCACTAGCTATATCACGACAACCACTTAACCAAATCTGACCGGAAATTATTTTATTCTATAGGACATATAGAATTAAAATAAACAATTTCGGTCAGATTTGGATAAGTGGTTGTCGTGATATAGCTAGTGCTAAAATCCGGTGGCTTTGATCTAGAGCAGGTCGACTTTAGTAAATGTCAGCCAGAGTAAATTTAGCCAGCATTAAGGGTGACTCTCTCAATGTGATTTGATAGTGATTGATATGATGCTCAATTTATTACAATTAATCGAGATAATGATTGCAATCGTTGCTTGAGCAGAACATCCTTATTTTTTACTCCATTATTGTTGTCTTCAGCAAAAAAATAGCAAAAAAAATGTGATTATCCAACCAACAAATGTAACTCCTCCTGGCAACACCAAGTGCCCAACTTCTTATACAGATTTTACGAATATTCATAGGAATATTAAAAATTTTTAATAAAAAAATAACTAGGGATCGATATAAGTCCGGAGCATCAACATCACGTGAGTGGACAGACGAAAATTTAAAATTACTTTCTTGATGTTTTTAAATATAATACATCAAAAACATAACTTTTGTATCACTATGTGTAGAAATTAAGAGTCCATCGTTTCGCTCCGGACAATTATTTTGACGTAAAAGTTAGGAAATAACAATTGTTAGCAGATTTGTTCTTTGAGTTTCCTGGAATTTTTTTATTAGCGATAAGTGTTCCGAATATAAAAAGCAACGCAATAATTTTGATTACCTCTAGGTACAGTACAAATACTTTATCGTATACCATTTTTAAATTTTCACCTCTTGAAAAATGACTTGGACGATTCTTAATGCAGAAAATGAGATTAAATGCAATATATACTATTGATAATAATATGTAATTCATATTTATTAATAACATTAATAAAGATAATAAATTTATCGCTGTTTTCGAAATGGTTGATAATAATAATATTCTCAAAGATAGCTGGAAATCGATCTTCGATCAAGTTCTAAGTTAATCGGTATTCGCAAAAAAAATTTTTTTTTGTGAATATTATTATTCTCAACTATTTCGAAAATAGTTCTTTCGGTTACATTTTTTTTTTTAGTTATACTTGAATCGTTCTTTTTGTTTTATTCATTATATTTGAATCGGCCTTTTCTTTTATTAATTACTAGAAGTTAGACCCATTATTACAGTATTATTATTATTATTATTACAATATACAATTGTAATGGACAATTTTCAGATTTCTCCAATATTCCATGGGATAGGAGTGAACAATCTATGTCTTCTTAAAGTTTCCTTTGCATAATACACAAGATTAGAAAGTAGACCAGCAGCGCGCGAAGTGAGGACAGCACTGTGAATTTTAGCTAATCATCAGGTGTATCAAATATCTTGATTGGTTGTTAAGATACTCCGGAAAAAATGTTGATCATACCCCGGATAGAGTACCAGCCATAACTCGTGAACTTTTAAAGGCATATTATAAATTTACAATATACTAATTCAGTTTTGTGTTAAAAACTTTAATTTTGATTTTACAAGGGTTTTGTTATTTTTTCCGCTATAAATGTCTACTAAATAACGCATTCCTAACACATCATTACTATCACTTATGTATTATAAATGTCATATTCACAAACTATACTTGTATCTAAATAAATTATAATCAAAAATATTAAAAATACGGTTTAGAATAATAGTTCAAAATAATACTTTTACTCGTAAAAACACAAACAAACTAGTTGAAGCAGAATCTTT